ATATATATATATATATATATATATATTCACATCTATCTATTTATTTATCTACTCATTTATTTATTTACTTATTCGTTCATTTATTTACTTATTCTTGAAACCTTTTATTTATCACAAAATATTCTGCATATGAGCTATGTGGTAAAACCCATCCTTTAAAAACTTTGTTGTTCAAAATTTGTGAAAATAAACCTTACATACCGTTTTTATATGACTGTGAACGATAGATATCTTTTAGCTCTTTCATTAAACGATCTGTTGCAGCCAGCGAACCTGCAACAGTACCCGTCAAATGTTGTTGCCTCTGGACATGATTCAAACGAGCCAAGACGGCCAAACCCTCGGCAGAGACGCCCTGAAGTTTGAAGTCGTTAACACAAAATTGAAAGGCGAAGGATAAACCAAAGCCAGAAAAAAGTGTGTTTCATCTGACCTTTAAATCATTTTTAGATTTCGTATTCTTCTTAACCTTACAGTGCTTCATCTTAAATGATATATCTTTTAATTAACTGCAGTAGCCCTCACACCGAGCAACCGTTTAAGCCCATTAGTCGAAAATGCTGTAATACATAATTGTTCTCCGCCCCCGTTCTGAGTCCACAAACTTGTCCACTTTTACAGAGGTTCTACTGTTAGATGCCGTTCCAGGGGAAGAGACAGATGACAAATGCAAAAAACAACGTGATAGAAATATAAAGCACGGTTTCAGGGTGCAAAAGTAATTCTTCAATATTCTTTCGTCCAAAATACTCACTAAAAAATCGTAACGTTTTCAGCGTTCTAAACTAGTTTTTCCAAACAAATTTAGCAGGATGCAAGCAATTCGCCCCTATGAAATTCCAAGAACGCGACTTGGCCAGGAACTAATTAATCAAAAACGAATCCAGACCAGTGCAGGTGGGCGAGCAAGACCTGGAATAAACGTGTTCGCCTGTAAAACTAGTCACCTTATCTTCCGGAAATCCCGTTTGTCCAACAAATCGCGCTGGCACAACTCAGTCCTACTACAAAAGCTCCTGAGATCTTAACCGCCCTTCAGCACTTCGCCCTGGTTGATCTGTATAGTCAAATAATTGTTGTGCTTTTACTTCTTTCAGACGTTATCAGAGCCAACACTTCCTTACAACCTCAAAAACCCCATCGAAGTATTTTGCAGAAAACTAACAATATCCCTAAACTGCATTAATTCAACTCACAAAAAATCTAACTATTTCCATCCTTTATAGCAATAAACCCAGATTATTTCCAGCCAACGAGGGAAATGAAAAACAGCTCCCTAAAGAACAGCATTTTTACTATTATACAAGAAATGCCTTCCCACACCGAACTAACATATTCGATATATATACTAGTTTTAAAAAACTTTGGGAATATGAAATAACTAACTCCACAAGCATAACAGAAAGAACAAACCTCTTTTAACCAACCACTAACTCTTAATCTCACTTTATAAACAAGTCTTCATAAGCACGTTTGTTAAAAAGTTCAAAAGTGCCTTCGTACCTCATCATCCGGGTGATCTCTCCGCGCAGGATCTTCTTCCATTTCGATTAGTTCGTCTTCACTGTCCATGCCCTCGTCTGCTTCCCCCTCCTTAAACTCTTTTTAAGAAAAATACTTTCTGCGAAAATTACGCGAAAAAAAGAACTGAACTGAAAAACGATTCTTTGTAACAATATTTCAGAGCAACTTACACATTACGCGAGCCACGAAAACAGCGTAAATCCCCTAAAGACAAAAGATGCAAATTATGAAATTACGTACCGGTCCAATGGACGGAAGTTCGACAGGAATAGTGACTTCAAAGTATCGACATAAGCGCGTCACTAATTCGTGCGTTTGTGCCAGTATATTACAAGGTGGCTCAGCATCGGTTAAAGACTGCAGTATTTCAGTAACTGTAGAATCCTCGCTTTCGCTAAACCATATGGGTGCAGTTCTTGGGTATTTCTCCTTAATAGAACATAGTTTACAACTGGAGCAGCGAAAAAAGTATAAAGCCAATAATTTTGAATAATAATCAGAAAAAAACAAGAAAAAAGACCTAGTAAACATTTCACAAAGATGGAACCACTCTTTTAGGATATTCAGCTTCTGACAGAAGTTACACAAACCGGAAAACCTCTCCGCTTTTTAAAAGTTGATATAATTCGGTGTAAACGGGAAGGTGTCAAAACAAACCGAAGTCAACACCCACCTGTATATTTGCTGTGATAATAATGGAATTGCTTTGTGGATCAATAAATTTTAAAGTTAGCTCGTCGACAGAGGCTGAAAGAACCTGCAGAACAAAGTAGTAAAATGTGTCATGAAAAAAAAATTTCTTACAAGATATTACAAACAACTAATTGAAACAAGCTGCCCAACAATAAAAAAAATGAAAAAACTCCGAAAAAATCCAACGCAATAATAAAGCACTCGCTGTAATTTTTTTCTTGAAATTTTAAAAAACGACAAGCCAAAAAACCTTCGAAAAAAAAAAATAAAATAAAATAAAGATAATAATCAGAGAAATTTCCAATAAATGTTACTTTTTCACATACTTACTTATATTAAGCGAAAACTTCGCAAAAAATTAAGACACACATGTACCGGAAAAAAGCTATTCTAATTAAACAGCTTCTCAAGAGCACAAAAATCAAAGAACAAAGAGCTGAAGGATATAGCCCTGTAACAGCAATAGTGGGTTCGGTAAATCTCAACAAGATGTTCTTGAATTTACTCTAACACGCTTACTTGAAATCTTTCGTGCGAGTGAGGGAATTTAGCTTCAAGAGTAGCAACTTCCTCTCTGAGCTTCTGAAGACACGCCATAATCCTGTCCAAGAAAGGAATAGAATTTAAACAATCTAACTGAAAAATTTTATAAAATAGACGGCAAAGGACAGTTCCCAATTGAGAAAAGACCCTGCCAAGCCCCAGGCAAAAGAAAAAGAATATATCATAATCAAGAATTTTTTCCCCTGACCACAGAAACTGAAAAATTAAAAACAAGCAGGCAGGAAAGGGCTCAAGAGTTCTACAACCAGCTGAGTACGCTTAAAAATGTTGTATAAATAGTACCAACACTCCATCAATAACGATCACCTCCCTTCAACAGCTTCAAAAAACCGCGAATAGTTAGTGAACGAAATCAGACGAAATAGTTCAACAACTTTACGATTTAGCAGTGTACCGAGAATGGTTCAATAGATACGTGAAACGAAAAAAAAATAAAGAATTAAAAAATAAGTGGCCTTCCTAATAAAATAAACGAGTAGAAATTAAACCTGATGAACAGATGCACAAACTGTAGCACTTTAGCCTTCTGGAACTGAAGATGTACTTTTGATTTCCGGTATCGTATTTCAATGACTGCAAGTAAAACCTTGAAAATGAAGACCAAAAAATACAACAAACCGAGATTTTTTATCAAAAAGACTAG